AATAAAAATGAGCAAACTACTAATTTATGCAACGATGTGAATGAATTTCACAGACAAACATGGAACAAATAAAGCCAAGTATAAAAGAGAAGATCCTGCAGGATTCAGTTTATCTGAAGTTCAAGAGCATGCAAAACTGATCTGTGGTGATAGAAGCCAAAATAACGTTATAGCTATGGGCAGGGGGGGTGGGGGGTGGAGGGTAGGGGGTGGGTACTGCCAAGAAGGGACAAGAGGAAGCCCACTGGGGTGTTGCAAATATTCTATATCTTGATGTGAGTGTCTTATAAACATACAAATTCTGAGTTGTACAACAAAGAACTATGCTTTATCATATGCATATTTTCCTGCAATATAATAGTTTTTAATTTTAAAATAAGGCTACCAGTACCTCCCATTAATGAAATGAATCAGAAGCCAAAGGGCAAGGCACCTCTAGTGCAACCCCAAGGGTCAGCATCCTGGAGCCCAAGGCGGGGTGAAAGGGAGCAGAGAATGGATTGGGGTGGGGGAATAACTAGTGATGCTCAGTAAATGTTTGCTGAGTGGATAGCAACCATTATACCCTAGTGTAAATAAATATATGGGATTTTTTTCTCTAATAGTAAAGCAACATGGAAATAGGAGAATACTGGGCACTTTGGCTACAGGAAATAATGGAGCAAATTGAAAGAAATTCTTTACCTTACCGGCATCTGCAGAAGATGCCCTGGTTATATGGTCAGCAGAATTCGAGTTAGCCCATTTCCAGAGCTCAACTTCCTTATCAGTGCCATAATAAGACCTAACACTTCCTGGTGCTTGACAGCTGACAATGTATCTCAAAAGCTTATCTCATTTAACCCTCATTGCAACCCACTGAGAGTTGGTAAGGAATACAAATGGCCAGGGATTACTAGAAATAAAGTGAAGCTCATCATAAAAGAAATGCAAAGAAAACTTACCCACTATCACAGAATCTGGAGGTTGCAAGGCCAGACTCAGTGTTCATTGTTTTATCCACTTTGTTATAAAAAACATAAAATTGGGGATGCCCGGGTGGCTCAGTGGTTGAGCATCTGCCTTTGGCTCAGGGTGTGATCCTGGAGTCCCGGGATTGAGTCCCACATCGGGCTCCCTGCTTGGAACCTGCCTCTCCCTCTGCCTGTGTCTCTGCCTCTCTCTGTGTCTCTCATGTATAAATAAATAAAATCTGAAAAAAAAAAAAACGGGTTAGATGCTTGCTCAAGTGTCTCTGAGAGCTTTAGGCATCTGCGTTCTCCATATTGTAGTCCCAATAAATGAGAAGCAGCTTCCATATCAGGTACTGACCCTTGGCTGGGAGCTGAGGTCCAGCTGTCCGTCACCTGCAAGATGACGGCCTTGGTCACCCACACGATGAAGCACTGTGCCAGGCACTGTATCTTCGTGGCCCTCCCCTTACAGGACGTGATTCCCCACCCACCTGAGAGAAGGAGCCCTGCACCTTGTTACGGATGAAGATCTGTGGCCTGAGGGATATTAGGTGACCTGCCAATGGTCACACTGGAATGAGGTAGGGCTAGGAGCCCAGGTTCCAGAGAAGATGCTCAGTCAGGACTCTGAAAGGAAGAGGTGAAGCCCCACGTGGGAGAAAGAATGAGACCAGGCTGCGTGGACTCCCAGATGGAGCTGCAGGGAGCCAGGGAGGTCAAGTGCTCACAGATGCTATAGGGACTCTGTCAACAAACTGTGGTTGAAGTCTGCACAAAACATCGGACTTCCAATCTCTCAGTTGCCCTGGAACATAGTAGTTGCTAAATAAAGATGTATTAAATTATGTTGCATGAGAAAGGAGCTTATCTGCGTGACAGCCAGAGGTTGGAAATGTGCTAGAAAGGCACCTTCCCCCACAGCTGGCACGTGCAGTTTCTCACCCGCTTTCGTCTCCACCGTCTCCTGGGCTTGGCTGCCACACGCTTAGGAGCAAAACATGCCTCTGCGCTCCCTTCCTTCTCCACACACCCTCCTGGGATGACCCCCCCACTCGTATGTATGGCACAGGTTCCGTCTTGGGAGCAGACAGGAAGCTGGCCAGCCTTGGCTCCCAGCTGGGACCTCTCCTGGAGGGCCATCGGAGTGTGGGCCATGGGCCCAAGGTCCCGGTGCCCCTCTCTGCCCAGAAGAGCCCATGGGCCAGGGGGTTTCAGCATAATGTCAATCTCAGCTACAACCTTGCTTCTCCACCTGTTTCTCCTCTCAGTGAGGGCCTCGCTGCCTCTCCAGCTATCCAAGCTAAAATTATCAGAGTCTCTCCAAGCTGCTTTTCTCTCTGTCCATCGCCGGGTCCTGCAAAATGTTCCCTGCCTGCTCCGCCTCCCTCCACCACCATCAGTGCCCTTGACATCTGTCAGATGGATCACCTGCAGGCCATCTGGCCCTGTCTGGCTTCTGAGCCACCCCAGAGTGGCCTTCTCAAATCTACATCTGAATAGGTCACCCTGCCACCTCTGCTGGTTCCCCTCTGAGAGCAACAGACACTACGTTCAGAGCTGTGCAAATTCACTCCAGCTGGCCCCCCTGAGTGGTCATTGGGCATTCTCCTCTGGAAGCCCCCACATATCCACCCAGGATGCCAGATACGCCAAGCAATGCAGGGTAGTGTCCCCGTGCTCCACTTGCTCTCTCACGCTCCAAGCCTCAACTCCAAGGTGCCTTCGTGGACACCCTTCGGGCAGAAGTCATCACTTGGTTCCCTTTGCAATTGGCATTTGCATGTTACTCCTAATATAGCACTTCATTCATTCATTGGTGCCTTGGGATCCGATGCCGGTCTAGACCCTAGAAATAGGTAAGTTAATTGCACCTGTTGCCCTGATTGGCCACTGGGGTGTCAGGATCTCCTTCACTGTTCCAGAGCAAATCTAATACATTTGTATCTCAGCACAAGAAAAGTGCCTTACATGTAAGGCGGGAGTGTTTGGAAAGCTTGACTATGGACTGAGTATCAGGTGCTAGTAAGAGATGATTTTTATTTTGTTAGGAGTGCTAACGTCACTGTGGTAAGCGTGAGAAAGTCAGTGTTGGTTCAGAGATGCAAGCTGAAGAATTTTCTGTGAAGGGGTTGGATAAAAATACAGATAAATAACAAGCAGATATATCAAAATGCTAACAGCCCAGGCCCCAGGCGTAAGGGTATTCATGTAATGTTCTGCTATGTGTCTTTACATTTGAAATTTTTCACAATAAAAAGTTTCCTGAAAGGTGAATTGAGTTGACTTGCCTGGACCCCTTTCTCATCTATCAGACTGGGAATATTTCAGTCTGTGTGTGCTGCTATCACAACATACCACAGGAGGGATAGCTCAGAAACAACAGAAGTTTATTGCTTCCAATCCTGGAGGCTGGGGGCTTGAGATCAGGGTGAGAGCTTTCTTCCTGGTTCATAGCCGGCACCTTCTTGCTGTGTCCTCCCACGGCAGAAGGGGGAATCTCTCTGGAGCCTCTTTCAAAAGGCACTAATCCATTCGTGAAGGCCTCATCCTCATGGCTGAAGCAGCTTCCTAAAGTCCCACCTTTTAAAATACCATCACATTGGGCATTAGGACTTCAATATATGTATTTGGGGTTGGGACACAAACTCTCAGTCCACAGCAAGGTATCAGTGGGAGGAGCCCTGTTGATCTCTGAAGGTACGACCCCCCCCCCCCTCCCGTGGTGTGGAGCAGAAAACAGCTGTGCTCTGGGGCTGGGGAGTTCCCAGCAGGCCTTGTGGAGTCCAGGACTCTGGAAGGAAATTGCTTTCAGCTTGAACACCCCTTCAAGCAAGTCAAATGAAGTTTGTTGACCCCAGGGACCCTAAAGGGGAAGAAATGTGTGTTGATTCTGTGAGCTAAACTGAGGAATGAAGACAGAAGGAGACATGTTTTGGGTGACCAGGTCAATGTGCTAAAACCGAGATGAGTCAGGAGAAGGAAGGCACAGGTCAGGCTACAGCTCTTTGGAAACACCACTCACAATAGGACAGTTGGCAGTTACTAAGAATTTACGGAACCAGTCACCTGACTATGTGCAGGATAGTCTGCACTAGCAACTCTATATCCTAGAAAGTTTCTGCTTTTTAAAGGACTGGAAGTAAGGGACTGATTCACTGCCTAACCTACTCAAGGGACTTCCGCTTTGCTTGTGTAGGTAAGAGCTCCATGGAACCCCTGGCAAGCCCCCTGCCCCTTCTGAGGTGGAAAACAAGCCAGAGGTGCACCTTCTGGTAGGGTGACTCTTGCAAGCAGGCCGTGAACAAAATATGCCTCTGCCCTGGCTTGGTTTTTCTCCTGACTTTCTTACTCTGAGAAAGTCTCTTACCTATAGCCAAAAAACTAACAAAGTCCAACGGTTCCCTTACCCCTCCGTCCTGAGTCACTTCTCACTGCCCCCAAATGCCCATGATACAGTCATGAAGCAACCTAACAGGAAGGCAGCCGAGGCTCCCGAAGCACCTGTAGGGCTATGTGTCCAGATGTCAGCAGCAACCTTCTCACCTTGCCAACTGGCTTGCAGAGCTTGGGGCCGAATGGGGACGGCGGAGCCCGGAGAGGGGGCTGCAGTCCTGGCGCCAACCCAGCGCGACCAGGGCGACCAGGGCGGGGGACACACCTCATCCTGCACCTCATCTCCCCCGCCCGGGCCTCTCCCCCCATGGCCTGGCTTTGAAAGCAACACATCCACCTTTTCACTGTCATCACTGCGCAGGCTGGTGATGTCCCCAGTCACCCCGTCTCGGGGAAGCGCGAGGCAAACCTGGGCTACCAGTGGCCATGGGGGGCGGGGGACCCGCGGAGCTGCTGGGGCCCGAGAGTCGCGGGCACCATCCTCTGCAGCGGTCTGGTCTGCGAGGGCCGCTTCCCCCAGGGGCCCGGGCTGCCACGGACCCGGCGCTCCCAAGTTCGGCGCTGGGCGCTGGGCGCTGAGGGCGCGGGGCGGGCCGGCGGGGCGGGGCTGGCGGCGGGGCTGGCGGCGGGGCTTTAAGAGCGCGCGGGCGAGCCGCGGCCGAGCCCGCCAGGGGGACCCAGCGATGGAGACCGCCCGGGACTACGCCGGAGCCCTCTTCAGGTGAGTGCGGCGCTGGCCCGGCTCGCGGCCACCCCTGCGCCCCACGCCCCACGCCCCACGCCCCCCTCCCCGCGCAGCGCCGCAGCCTCCGCGCCCCTCGTGCCCCCTGCGCCCCGCGCCTCCTGCACGCTGCATCCCCGAGCGTCCTGCGCCCCGCGTCCCTGTGCCTGGCCCCTCCGTGAGACCCCTCGTCTCCCTCCATCCGGGGTCCGCCTGCACCCCTTGCGCCCTGAGGCCCCGTCCCAGCCCACGCAGCTCCCGGTTACCTCTGGTGCCCACGCCGCGGGCCCCTTCCCTCCCCCGGCTGGCTGCAGTGCCGGGTGTGGCGCTCCCGAGGCGCACGGGCATCCACGGAACAGGTGACAGTGGTGAGAGCGGGAGTGGTTGAATATCTCGCTGCTGCTCCTGCGGCAGCAGGTGCAGATGAGGGCCTCGTCCTGGGAAAGGCGGGCAGCGCCTCCACGGGGCGCGGGCCAGGGCTTCCAGGGTACCTCAGGATCGACGGGAGCTGGGGCGCCGGGGGGACACTCCGCGCCTTTGGGATAGTCCAGACTTACCCCTAAAGATGAGGGAGGCCTCTGGGCTCCACGGGGAGGGCGGACTGAGCCAAAAGCGCCCCTTGGGCTCTGAACGCGCCCGACCTCTGCTTGATGAGCTCACCGAGGCTTCCTAGGGGGTGTTTTGGGGGGAAACGCTCCCCGTCCTCACCACATTCGAGAACGCCACCCTGGGCCCGCAGAGGCCAGTGGAGTCATCCTCCTTCCTGGGCTTTGCCACCCCCTGGGGGCTGAAGTCACCGCAGCACTTCCTGCCACCCCAACCCAGCTTCCACTCATCTTCATATCCTGACATACCCAGGCCTGTCTTTGTTGATAAAATATCTCTTGGAAGTAACTTTTAAGTATAGATTTATGGAAGGGCCAGTGCTTCTTTGAAGATCTTCAGAATACTCCAAGGATAGAGGAAAATGCAAGTTTTCAGAGGTGACTAATCCCATTTGTACCACAAGGCAGAGGGGCAAGGGAGGTGAAGGGAAGGGTGGCAGGGGAGGGTCACTTTACAAAACTACTGTGATCTATTGGCAGCTGCCCTTGCTGTGTGCAGTACTCAGTACTTAGAAAAATAGCTTCCAATACGTGAAGGTAGTCTGACTGAACAGTACTGGCTTTCTCTTTAAAAACAAACAAAAACGGGGTGTTGGGGTGACTGGGTGACGGGCACTGAGTGAGGGGCACTTGACGGGAGGAGCACTGGGTGATATACTATATGTTGGCAAATTGAACTCCAATAAAAAAAAAAAAAAAACAGAAGTCAAGTGATAGGAACCAGGGAGGGTGAGAAACTTGTTTCATGCATCTTCACTAACACATGTGAGCATGAAGGGAAAGCCTTGGATTTCTTGCCTTTTTGGTTCCTCTCCTCCTCCCCTTATAATCCCGCTCCAGGGGACGACAACTGTTAACAGTCGGGAGTGCAATTCTCAAACATGCAAACACCCCCATTCTGCGACTTTTTGTGAGCCCTGGGGAGGTGGTGGGCTGAGCTATAAGGACTGGTAAGGAGGCTCTCGGTCCTCCCTGAGACTGCCTGGAGCACCGAGGAGGGAGCAGAGCTTGCAGAATTAAGGCTGACCCTGCCCTTCCACCTGCCCCCGCCCCCAGGATACCAAAATCCAAAATGCATGCATGTGAGGTTTCCACCAGGTCAAGTGTGTGGAATTGACTTGCTTGTAAAATGGTGCCAAATCAAAACCTAAGGAAATGTCTACTTGAAGCCACATTCCCTCTGAGCTTGGCAAACTAAAAGTGAGTGATCGTTGGTTGGGGACACTGTGCGGTTCTTTGAAGAAGAAAAAAAAAGAAAGAAAGGAATCTACCTGCTTCCCCACTGAACTGGAAGAAAAGCAGTCCATACTACTCATTGAAGGACAGCCCGTCTCTTCCCTGTCCTTCTTCAGAACCGCGTCCAGGCTAACGACCCCTGTGAGCCACAGCGAGGTGACAGGTGACGGCCGTGTTTTCTGTCTCCTCGGTGTTCCTTAATTTAACCTAGATGACCCCAACGCTGTCTTTCATCAGTAGATAACTGCATTTTGCCAAAGAAATAAGTCAATTCACATTCACATCTTTTTTTAAAGTCAGCAATTCTGAAGTCTTAAACTGGGCCTTGGTTTGTTAATGGCCTGTGATCCCTGCTCATGGTGAGAGCAGCCTGAGGTCTCTCAGCCGAGCTCTGGAGGGCAAGGATGTCCTCGCCAGTGCGTGTGGCCACAGACAAAGCTGCTCAGCCTGTGTCTGTCGGTGAGAGCATGCCCACCGACCTTGAAGTTGTTACAGGGCTGACAGACATTACGCTGTGTGCAAACATCGCTGCTTTTGTTGCTATTTTGTACATCTTCCCTTTCCCTGACCAAGGAACTCTATGTCCTGTACAGCTGGCATCTCAGAACACATTTTACCACCTACCACCTTCTTATTAGTGACATAAGCAACGGAGTGCATTTTCTACCAGTGAAAATCCCAGGTTATTGAGGCTTCCTCCTTCCAGGGCCTATTTTAATGATATACCATGGTCTATTTCAAAGTGTCCAAAGACTTCATGGTCCTACACTGAATCCTCTTACTACATCAAGCATTTCGATAGGGTGGCCAAGGCCTAGATTGGAGCCGGCAGCAGTCCCTGTGGGGTAGTGGTGCCCCATGTGAGTAGCCCATAAGCCCATAATGAGGCTCTGGAGCTGCTGGGGAGCAGGAAACATCACTAAGGCCGACACTCCTCCAGCTGCTGCCGTTGAGTTAGACCCTCACACTGTGCCTACCGCTCACCCAGATCCAGCCAGGCCTGATGACTGATTTTCAATTCTATTTCTCTGCACTGCCGGGTTTGACATTATCACTTCCCTCCCTAATGTCCTTGTCATCACCAGGCTTTGGAGGTAGTGCTCAGTTGACTTGTCTTACCCACTTCTGCACTTGCTTACTCTTGTGTGTTTCCTCCTTTCCACCTAACAAGAAAATGTGGGGCCACTCAGACACTGAAACATTCATTTCACTCAGGATCTTCCCTGGGCAGGCGCTTAGACAGACTTACAGAACCACCTCATCATTGCTGACCCCAAGATGTTTCTCTGGGGAAGACTTTGTTCCCAGGCCTACCCGATTCCTCCTTATTCCACTTTTGGAATAAATATCAGTCCCTCAGATGGCATAAAAACTTGTTTGTTTGTTGTTGTTGTTTTGTTGTTTTTTAATGCCCTGTGGCAGCTAGCTTCATTTTCCTGGAGCAAAAAGCCATCTATGGCTTTATTTGCCACATGTTTATTAGTTGAGACTCCTCAGTTCACTCTGGGAAAAATACAAAGATTTCTCTGTTTTCCTCACTTCTGGGAGATATGCCCCTTCCCAGTTTTTAAGAATGTTCTATGAAGCCTGACTTCTCTTTTTGTCTTGATTTCCCCGAAACAATCTGCTTCCTCGAACACCCTGTTTCCTGGTTTTTCTTTTCCTTTTAGTGAGCTGTTTCCTTCCTGCTTCATATGCTTGTCTGCACTTTCCCAGGGATTAGAGGGTGACTCACGTGTGATGGATCTAATCCAAAGCTTTTCAGAGCTCCTCTCTCAACTCTGACATATTAAAATATTGAGGGGAGACTGGCAACAGGTGTTAGGCATCATACTGATGGCCAGTGACATAAATCGTCCTATTAAGAGGATCAGGAGTGAATTGGATCGATATTGTTTTGCTTATTAGCTAGCTAGTTAATCCTGCTGTTCCTTTAGTAAATACTCCTATAGTAATTGTTAAGTTGGCTTAGTGTATATAAAATTTCATTTAACCCCTTTTTATGCTATCCATAAAAGAGCCTCAATTTTATATAAAATAAAATCATCAAATCACTCATCTTGTTCCTTAAGAGGAGTGGAAGGATTTAATTTTCATGTCTTCAAGGATTTTTTTAGTTGTGCTCTATAAGCCTGTTCTCCAACAATGATCCAGTTCCCGGTTAGGAAACGGAACGGGCACGGAGAACAATGGACTGTATATCCTTTTTTCTTGAGGATGGCTATCTTGAGGGCAGCGTGTAGAGGGAGGACCAGAAGTGGCTGCCAGCACTTATCTTGTCCGAAGTTAAAGGACCATAAGGATTTTGTATAATCAACTATACTGGGTGACTGGAGCACTGGTGCTTACTAAGACGTGATTGTTTGCATCCAATGAGGAGGTGTAAGACCACAACTAACTAGGTCAAAGCTGTTCGTGCCTACAAGGTGTGCCTTTGGCCTCCAGCACCTGGACCTGAGGTTCCAGGACGTGAACTTTGTTCTCCCATTTCTCTGATCTTGTCCTAGCCAGTCTTTTACTTGGTGAATAAATTGCATGCCAACAGCAGGCTAGGTGCTATAGGGAAGTCAGAAAATGTACAGAGAGATCCTGGCCCCAGTGAGTACAGATTCTAGAAGGACTCATGGACAATGGCAATGAGTTCTGCTTTGTGGGAAGAAGAGGGGCCCTTGCTGGTGAGGGTCCAGGGTGGCCTCATGCTATCAGCGGGTTTTCACCTTGTAGGGCAGACGTGTTGGTACAAAAATGGGAGCTGGATTCAGACCCCTATTCTAGCACTTGTTAACTCTGACCTTATTCGTTTCTTAACCTCCTGAGCCTCACTTTTCCTCATCTAGCAAGTCTGCTTTGTCAAGTTGGTAAGTAATGTGCTAATGTGCACAGTTGTCTGGCATCGGGTGGAGCTAGTATCTTTCTCTCCTCCTCAGAGGGACTTCGCCAGGGAGGAGGTTTCAGGTGCCACGAACAGGTTGCCAACAAAGCCTGCTCCTACATGTAAAGCAGAATATGGAAAGTCTTCCCTCCCCCGTCCACCAGATCCCCAGAGGTGGAACAGTGGGTGGGTTTTCTGCAGCGTCAGCTCAGCAGAACGTGGGCATCTCGTTCATTGGTTTGTGTAACTGAGGAACCTGGTGTAACTTCTTGCAATCAAGGCAAAAGTTCAGAGGCTGTCTGCCAGCCCCATACTGTGTCGGTTCAAGGCTTGGATTCCCTCGGTGGGTCTCGGCTCAGTCCAATGGGGCATCTACATCCGAGGCCAGTGACCTGGTGCAGCCCCCTTGCCGTTGCCTCACCAGGAACACATAATGCATGCACTCTGCTGGCAGAAGGGGGCTGTCTTTTCCTTCCTAACCGATGGACCTTGAGAAACCATTTTGAGCCTCAGTTTTCCCATTCGAGAAATGGAGTGATGCTTTCCCTGTAAAGTTCCAATGATCATGAGTTAATATGTTAGGAGCTAGCACAAGTTGGCCAAGGTGAGTGTTCAGACGTGAGCAGGTGGGAGGCACTAATGTGAAGCTGGCTGAACACACTTTAGACCAGATCCATGCTAACAACCTGGGTCTGATTCCTAGGATGCCAGTTTGTAGCTGGGGCATAGGGACGCTCATTCTTATAGAAACCTTCCTGAAATTGGCCTCTCATGCTATGAGCATGAACTTAATCTGAAAATTTTTTTTAAGATTTTTTATTTATTTATGAGAGAGACACACACACATACACACACAGAGGCAGAGACACAGGCGGAGGGAGAAGCAGGCTCCCTGCAGGGAGCCTGATGTGGAACTTGATCCCGGGTCTCCAGGATCAGGCCCTGGGCTGAAGGCGGCGCTAAACCACTGAACCACCAGGCTGCCCTAAGCTGACAGTTTTTGAGAGCTGGTTTATTCCTATACTATCAGTTTTTCGTATAGAAAACTACTTGGCAGATCATTAAATTTTCACTATGTGCATTTGTAGAGCTTCAAGTTAGACCACATACTATTTAAAACATATATGCTTAATGCTAGTCTAGGCATTATGGGAGATAGAACAAAGAAGCCTTGTCCACAAGGAAATTCCAATCTGCTTGGGAAAATAAAACATAGACAAATAAATGACAATATATGCGTATGTGTGTGTGTGTGTACAGATATCTATAAAATAAAGTACTAAATCCAAGGTGATAGGCATTCCCAAAAAGTACAGAAGTCCAGCAGCCCAAGTAGCTCAGCTGTTTAGCGCCACCTTCAGTCCAGGGCGTGATCCTGCAGACTCTACATGGAGCCTGCTTCTTCCTCTGCCTGTCTCTCTGCCTCTCTCTCTCTTTCTGTCTCTCATAAATAAATAAATAAAATCTTTTTAAAAATTATTTTAAAAAAGTACAGAAGTCTCTAGAATTTTAGCCTTCATAGGGCAAATCTAGACAAGCTACTATAAGCATCAGTGATGTCCTCATTCTGTATCTTCGACAAGGTTGCCCTAAAAATAAAGCCCTTTGTTTCATTCTCCTGAATGTCACTGTACAATTATTTGTCCAAATTGTCAACAATTGTTTGAGCACCTGAAATTGTTAGGCACCATTCAGGTGTAGGGAGAGTGCAGCTAGAGGTGCTATTCCCGCAGGGGCTGGGGGATTAAATGAGGTCACATGTCCTTTATCACAGCACCTGACACGAAGCAAGAGCCCCCTGAAATGCTGCTAACTTATGTTTATGTTCTTTTAAATAATTTCTATGTGGGTTAATTCCTAAATGTAAAACAGCCCCCAGTCCTAGATGCAAACTATATGTTCCTAGACTGGTCTCCAAAGAGACTGAAGCCCTGCCTAGTGCTACTGACAAGGTGCATCTGTTGCCACTCATGAAGTTATTTTTAAGTAACTTCTTGTATGTTTGTTTAAAAGCATATGGTAGTATGTCAAAGGTGGCTTTGCATTTCTTTGATTGCTATCAAAAGCCTCATATGTTCCCCAATATGTAAACTTGTGTTACTCTTTAGTGTGTGGCATCTAGATAACCTTTATGAAGCCAAGAAGAAAGAGGTACTTGGGTCATAATCCCAGCTCTGGCTCTTACCGTCTGTGGGGCAGCTCTCTGGCCTGATTTCCCTCATCTGTAAATTGAGAAAAACAGGACTATGTTACAGAGTTTCCTAAGGATGAAGTGAATTAATATTTATGAAACAAAATAAATGTTTGTTGGGGCTGCTGGCTGGCTCAGTCAGTGGAGCCTACAACTCTTGATCTTGGGGTTTTAGGTTCGAGTCCCTCAATGGGCATAGAGGTTACTTAAAATTAAGATCTTTAAAAACAGGGCAGCCCTGGTGGCGCAGCGGTTTAGCGCCGCCTGCAGCCCGGGGTGTGATCCTGGAGACCCGGGATCGAGCCTGCTTCTCCCTCTGCCTGTGTCTCTGCCTCTCTCTTGCTCTCCCTGAATGAATAAATAAATAAATCTTAAAAAAAAAAAAAAAGATCTTTAAAAACAAAAGTGTTAAATAACTACTAAAGCTGTAAGCTTCTCATTTATCCCATATATATAAAATGTTACATAAACAGTATTTGTGTGTTTGTGTGTGTGTGTATGTAGTATTTGCGAAGTAACTAAAATTTGATAATCAAGGATAAGAGATTCTTTTCCTCAGGAAAACTGTCTTGATTTAGTTTTGTTATTTAACTCTTCCATGTTAGTTTTTTTAATATGTGAATTTTTGAATTAATTCTTTGTTAAATGTGGAACTTACTCCAGTGTCACGTGACATAAGGCCCAGAGTTCTTTTCCTTCTTGTTGTTCCAACCACAATTATTATAGTGTTCTGTTGTTTCTCATTTATTCTAAGTTAATTTCTAAAAGTTCGTTTATTTCTTTAGTGACCAATATCTGCTTTTTCAATTCTTGGCTTAGTCTTGCTGTACAGTATGTGACTTTTGTGTGTGTGCATCTAATTCTCTAACTCTGCTTGGCCACTTCCTGGCCTCTGGAAATCTTTTTCTTTTTTTCTTTTAAGATCTCAGCTGTAAAAGCCACGTTTGCAGAATAGAATTCTTATGTCTTATTGATTGTGATACCTTACCACTTATTTCTCACACAGTTACTATGAGGACTTTGAATGTTCTGGTAAAATAGGTGTGATAATGCTTGTGCTTTTTATTTATATATAGTACTTGTTTGTCTTTTGGATACCAGGCGATATATGTATATATACATATATATATGTATATAAAATTTTCAGTAATTCCCAACTATGGATTTTTTTCTTTCAGATGCAAATATTAAAATTGTCTTAATTTTGTGTACTTCCAATCTCTCTTCAAAGACTCTTTTTGAAGATAACGTCCAAGATATTTTTTTACTTTTCTCCTCCATTTCCAGGCCCCTGACATTTATGGGATCACAGACCAAAAGAGTCCTACTAACTCCCCTCAAGCACTCGGCTCGCCCCTTCCGGGTCTCCAACCATGACAGAAGCAGCCGTCGAGGGGTGATGGCTGACAGTCTGAAGGAGCTTCTCAGCAAGGTGCCAGGAGCCACAGCACCTCCCCTACTGCCCGAGGGAGGGCCCCGAACCACACACAGGGCTTGGGGCTTGGGTACTAGGCCAGTCCAGAGACAAATGTCACTCTTGTGGCCTCAGAGAGTCAGAGGGGAGAAGAGAATGAAAGGGAACTTTATCGCATCTCTCCTTGAACCATGAAAGATTTAGCTGCAGAAGCAAAGGCCTTGAAAACTGTCATCAGCTGACAATGTAGCCTTTCTTCTTTAACAAGGGAGGATACGGGGAAGCAGCAGGCTTTGGAAATCTGTTTTCAGTTTTAAAGCTCAGGGAAGAATAGTCTTGAATCTGAAACAGTGTCCACCAGATCACCAAATAAGGAAGAATCACAGACTCTCTAGAGTCTGGAGTTGGGTTATGAATGCATAACCCAGACCAAGACACCCATGGAAATAAGAAACGAGCATCCAACATGCAGATCCCAAAGCAAGCGTTCAAATATGTAGCATGAGACTAAGGCTCTTTAAATATCTTATTGCTGCGTTATTCATTTTATTTGTCAAAATAAGTAATTTTAGAAACTGTAAATATTACCTGATGTCTTCATTTGTCTCATGCCACTGAAGCCTCTGAAGAAAATAAATCCATTAAAAATCTTAACTTCTCTTTTTCTAAGCAAAGGCTGAGTCATAGACACCTGTTAAGTAGATCTCTACTGTTAAAATTTTAGCAGCTTCAGACAGTACTTCTGAAGCCATAACTTAATCAGTAGCTTTGAGTGGTCAGAGCAGAGTGTCCTGCTTTGTTCTATGTCTCCAATGTGTTGCCCACCTAGACCCTGGAGGCCTTAGTTATCACCAGCAGACTGGTCACTCTGGTGTTGGAGGAAGATGGCACTGTGGTGGATACGGAAGATTTCTTTCAGACCTTAGGAGACAACACACATTTCATGATCTTGGAAGAAGGGCAGAAGTGGACACCGGTAAGCAAAAACACATATCCAAGCAGCTACGGGGTAGACTTTTTACCCACAAAAGAGCGTTCCCCACTTTGGTGTTGACTTGCCCTCTTTCTAGATACGTACTTTGTATTCACCTGATAACCGAATCTGCTACCCTCAACAGGTTGCTTAAAAGTATTTCTAGGTAATTAAGCATCTTAGTGAGCCTGGGCTGTATGATTTACAGCAAATAGTTCTTTTCTTAGAACTTACATTCAATTAATTCACATATAGTGTATTATTAGTTTCAGAGGTAGAGGTCAGTGGTTCATCTGTTGTATAACACCCAGTGCTCATCACATCACGTGCCTTCCTTGATGCCTATCCCCCAGTTACCCCATCCCTCCCCCCTCTCCAGTGACCCTCAGTTTGCTTCCTATGATTAATGGTTTGTCTCCTTCACTGATTTGTCTTGTTTTACTTTCCCCTCCCTTCCCCTATGATCCTCTGTTTTGTTTCTTAAATTCTACATATGAATGAGATCACATACTTGTTTTTCCCTGACTGACTTAGTTCGCTTAGCATAATACCTTCTAGTTCTATCCATGTCTTTGCAAATGGCAAGAATTCTTTTTTTCTTTCTTTTTTTTTTTTTATGGCTGAGAAGGATTCCATGGTATATATCCACTAAGATACATCTTCTTTATCCATTCATTCATCTGTTGATGGACATCTGGGCTCTTTCCACAGTTTGGCTATCGTGGGCACTGATGCTATAAACATTGAGGTGCAGTTGTCCCTTTGGATCATTACATTTGTGTCTTTAGGGTAAGTAGGGTAGTTCTATTTTCAACTTTTTGAGGAACTTCCATACTTTTCTCTAGAATGGCTATACTAGCTTTGGAGAAAATAATTCTAAGGAACAGATTTAGGCCAGTAACTAGCTACAGATCCTGTTAAAGCACGCAGATATGACCTGGTGACCCTTCACTGTCTCTGTCCTGAGGAGGCCAGCAAGCTAACATAGCCAGTGATATTAAGTAGGGGTATGTGTATGACTGAAGAGTGATCTCAAAGGTACAGAGATTGAATAAAGGTTTCTATGTCCAGGAAAACTATGGAGTATATATACCTTGGGTCCCACCATAAAACACCTAAAAGCGTAAAGCAACACATTAAAACTGATTTTATATGCCTAACTGACCTTCAAGAAAGGAAACTCCTCAGAGGCCAAAACTTTATGGGAGCCAGAATCTGGAGAAGTAGATTACCTGTGAGCATCTCACCTGTGGCCATCCACTCACCTCAGTGACTAAGTGCCACAGTCTTGACAGGTGCTGGCAGGACAGGAGACAAAGTCTTGGGCTGATACAAGGTAAGGGGCCAGATTAGAGATGCCCACACAAAGCAGAGAATCCTAAAGGTGTCTCCTAAGAATCTGTGGCCACAAGCTGCTCTCATGACATTTTCAGGACTTTTGATTCCAAAAACATCCAAGCTGAGAGTTTAGTTTCCAGAGCCCTGGAGAGGGAAGTATCAATGGAAAGAGTTTATTCATTGAGTTCTCTTTACTCAACTGGTCCCTCCGCCCTCCGTGACCCTCCCATTGACCTGGTGTTGATTGTATCCCCATGTAACCAGTAGGATCAAATAGGCTCAGAATGAGCCTTGATCTAGGTGCCAAAGAGTTTCCATTCCTAAAGTTCCAACAAATGTGAGTTCACAGTCAAATCATAGGATGTAAGGACTTAAGGCACTGTATGTGAGATGAAGCAGACATAATGAAGTCAGACCTCCAAAGACTTCAGATGTTGGAATCATCAGATACAAAGTATAAAATAAGTGTATTTAAAATGTCCAGAGAAATCTAAAAGGTAATCAAAAGTAAAAAGGAACAGGAGGTAATCAGAAAGGACAAAGTAGACTTGAAAGAATCAAATAAAATTTCTGGAAATGAAAAATATAACAAAGTAAATGGAGATAGACAGCACATAAGATATGTCTCAAGAAGTTTCCATGATGTGTAGCACAAGATGGTAGAGGTAGAAACCATGAAGGAAGTTGGAGACCTACCTGAGAAGGTCTGATACATGTTGGACATCCTTAGGGTGTTGGGTTTTTTTAACAGGAAAATGCATAAACCATTTTTACTGATAAATTCCACTCTATTAATAATTTTGTCAAAAGATAACAAAAAGTATGTAAAACAATAAGCCACAAGTGGGTAGAAGGTGTTTTCAACATAGTCCAACAAAGGATTAGTGTTTGTTAAATTTAGGAGTCTTGCAGAAATCAATTATGGAAACAATGGACAATCTGAAAAATGGACAAAAAAAAGGGACAGGTATCTGTGGAATGGACAATAAAGCACAGGGAGAACTGTTCAACCTCATTGGTGATTAGGAAAACATAAGACCACAAGAAGATAATCTTTTATATCATTAGATTTGGTATTATTAGGCTTTTCCACTTCTTTCCATTTCTTTTTAAGATATGGAGCAGTGAACTCTTTTACACTCCCACCAGCAGCTGTTAAAACTGTACCTCTATCCCATAGAACTGAAACACCACCCATGACCTGGCAAGTCCTCTCCTAGGCATACACCCAGCACACAGATACCCAGCCATGTGTTTCTTTGTAAATACACATACATAAAGACACCAGTGTCTCTTTATTGAATGGATGCTCTTGAGCTGTATATTGGAGTACATGGAGTACAGCTATCAGCATCTATATGAGTAAATCTCATCAACTCTGTTGAGTGAAAATATCACATTAAGCCATATCCATTAAGCATGTGATCTTCAAACTTTTGACCTCGGAACCCTTTTATACTCTAAAAATTAATGATGACCCCAAATGGTTTTTGTTTATGTGGATTTCAATAGAACCTATAGATATCCATCAACCAGAGGTTCTCAACTGGGGACAATCTTACCCCTTGAGAGGCATCTGGCAATGTCTAAGGACTTTTTGGTTGCCCAAACCAGGGTGGAAGGGGCAACCTAGAGCTGGACTACTTTTGTTTTGAGAAAGATCTTGTGGAAAGAATAACAGCCTTGCAAAGATGCCCACATTGAAATCCCTGGATGTTTTGGAGGTGTTGCTTTACTTGGCGAATGGACCTACCAGGTGGTGGTTAAGTTAAGGATCTCGAGCTGGGGAGATGGTCCTGCATAATCCAGGGACCTGTGTCATCAGGGGTCCTTACAGAGAGACAGGAGAGTCAGAGTGAGGGCCAGAAGCAGGGTAAGAGGAGAGGAGCGGTGAGGAGCCAAGCAATGGGAGCGCCTGCAGAAGCTGGAGAGGGCGAGGGGGCCCCTGTCCTTCCTGGCAGCCTCGGGGAGAAAGCATCCCTGCTTGCTCACGGTGGACTGCCAACCTGTTATGGTCTTAGGTTCTGTTGCTTCAAGCCACTAAATTTGTTGTAGTTAGAAGAGCAACAGGAAACCAGCTCAGAAGGGAAGGGTAGTTTGTGTTTGGTTTTTATAACAGACACTGGGTTAGCGAGGGGAGACTGAGCCGGTGGGCAGGGCGCCTAGAGGCCATGGGTGTAAATAATCCTTCAGGGTGGTGTGTTCAAGGGGCTGGTGGGCCGCCCAGCCCCTACCAGCCTGCCTGATGAGCGAGTGGGCGTGGGTGTCCTCTCTCGACTTAGGCCTTTCAACCAGCCTCCCTCCAGTGGAAATGGGCACCTGGACGCTGATGGTAAGATCCTACCCACCTTGTAGGCGTGTCTATCTTCTTAAATCAGTGAGGCCCCCTGGATTTAACGTCAGCGGGAAGGCCGGCCCGAAATAGCCACCAGGGGTCGCCCGTCTTCAGTCTGAGTGCCCGGAACGCCTGGTGGGGGAGCCGAACCGAGAGCCCCCTCCCACCTGGCAGCTAGGCCTTCGTTTCTTCCTTCTTAGCCAGCAAGTCAGAGGAACCCCTGTCACCAGCGGGTTAGCTTTGTGAGGGCTCGATTTTGACTTAAGACCAAAACTTCAGGAAGACATTTAGGGGGACTAAAGGTACAAACTTCTACAGGTCAGAAAGGAGCATGAGGCAGTGAGAAAGAACAGTGGCTGGATTGATTACAGGTAAAACTCTTCTTTTTTGGCAGATTGATCACAGGTAAAACTCTTCTTTTTTGGCAGCCCGGGTGGCTCAGCGGTTTAGCGCCGCCTTGAGCCCAGAGGGTGTGATCCTGGAGACCTGGGATCGAGTCCTGTGTCGGGCTCCCTGCATGGAGCCTGCTTCTTCTGCCTGTGTCTCTGCCTCTCTGCCTCTCTCTCTCTCTCTCTCTCTCTCTCTCTCTCTCTCTCCTCTCTGTATTCTCATGAATAAATAAAATCTTGAAAAAAAAAGCCTCTTCTTTTCACTCCAGGATCTTTTTTTTTTTAAGATTTTATTTATTCGTGAGAGACACAGAGCGAGAAGCAGAGACACAGGCAGAGGGAGAAGCAGGCTCCCTGCAGGGAGCCCAGTGGGGGACTCGATCCCAGGCAGATTCTCAATCAACCACTGAGCCACCTAGGTGCCAAGTGTCCCACTCTTAATCTCAGCTCAGGTCTTGATCTCAGGGTAGTGAGTTCAAGTCTCCGTTGGGCTCCACACTGGGTATTGAGCCTATTTTTTAAAAAAAAATGTTTCCTAAACGGGGGACAGTTAATACCCCATAAAGAGGCAGCAGGACCTCTTGTGCATTGAACAATGGGCTACCCCCAGAGTCTCTTGTTGCATATGTCAACATGTGTGGGAGGTAAGCAGGGTGGCTCCAGCAAGAAGGGTCTGGGTACTTTTAGGGGAATTTATGGTTTAACTTCACATATAGTCATTATTGTTATTGATGAATTTAACATTTCTAGCCTCAACTACTCTCAACCCCAGAGGTTCCTGAGACCGTAACACTGTTGGTTGTATACACTTGAATTCTGAATCTACAAAATCTGTGTGAGGAGCAAGCCCTAGGGAGACATTTGTACCTGGCACAGCTTCATTCCCTTGCTTTCTACAAAGCTTTCTGTGGGGAAGATGTTCTACTGCTCCTTATAAACCTAAGGCTCGACAGAGGTCTCTGACTTTCTCCTCTGACCTGAAGGCTCAGCTGATATTTCAGGAGGACCTACATGATGACTATCCTGTGTCCCCAGGAGGTCTGCTTTTTGCCAGGGCAGTGACTAGAAAGCACAGGAAGCCCTGGGAGGTTTTCACCCTTGAGGCTGAAGCTGTCTGCCTGGCAGCCTCTTGTGAAATGGAAATACTGCTGCCTGTTCCTCATTAAGCAGACTGTGCTACATTCATGAGATCGCCCATGTCAATCAAGTGACCACAGTGGCTCTGAGTGACCACTGGGCTGCGTGTGCTCCATACCGCGTGTCAGTAGCACAGCCATCCCGTGAATCCCGGATCCTACAGCCCAGGCCCCAGAGCCAAACCGCACTCATCTCAAGTCACTAAACTGAAAGTAGCTTAGGGAAGAATACTTTAAGGATTTGGACATGCCAGCATAGGAGCATATTGATCTGCTAAAAATATCCCTCAGGCAATTAGCAGCTCTGTCACTAACAGATTTTAGGACAGCAAAGTCAAAACTAGCAAAAACCCAGAATGATAGAATTTGCACGTCCAAGCTGAAGATGCTCCTAAAGTCTCTCCCTCCCCTTATGATTCTAGGGTGCCAACTACATCCCAGCTCGCCAGCAACCAAAGAAGGCAGGAATAGCAAGAGTCACCTTCGACTTGTACAAGCTGACCCCCAAGGATGTCATTGGCTGCCTCAACGTGAAGGCCACCATGTATGAGATGTACTCGGTGTCCTACGACATCCGCTGTACTGGAGTCAAAGCCCTGCTGAGGTAACAGACTTCAGGGCTCAGCTGGGGTCTGGGAGCTGCACGTGGCCCTACCCAGGTGGCCCGTGCCCCGCCTGCTGCTCTGCACGGCCCAGCCCTGCCCTGCCGAGGCCCTGACCTGAGCAGCAGCTGCTGACGTTCACGAACTCGTGTTGTTCTGTAGTAGGTGTATGCCATAGACTTAAGTCAGAAAACAACGTCCTGAGCCAAAATATGGCTTTTTTTTCTCCAGGGACCATCAAATACTAAATGGAAACAACTAACGCATAAATATAGAGAAGAACTGAATTTCTTTTAAAAACTTAGGGCTGTACATTTGAAAGCCTTTATTCTAAGCAATGGCAGCTGGAGTCCCTGCGATTTGGGCCTGCCACATACTGTCACCCACGACGGGGGCCAGGCTGGCAGCATGGCCTCCCAGGGGCGCCTGTAGAACACAGACCCTAATCCATACCCCGGATCAATCTGAACACGTTCTGTACATTCCCCAGAAACGTTCTGTAGTTGTGACCAGGCTGGACAGCCCGCCCCCAAGCCCTGGACCGAGGGGGCCACCTGCAGGCCCTCCCAGCCTTGCCTCTGAGCAGCCAGCTATGTGACCTTTAATGGGGCCACTTAACCTCTCTGAGCCTCTTTAAATACCTAATTGCCGTGGAGGGAGGGATGGAGGGGGAGACACAGTGACAGGAGGCCTCTGAAGCTAGTCTGAAAGGATTGATTGTGGCCCTGACAAAACGCTGCTCCCCGCACAGCTCCTGCGGGTGGCCCCCCACCCCCTTGCTTCTCAGAGGGAGCTGGTCCCTTCTCTCCATGGCCCAATGAGCACCACTCTGGGCATCCTTGAGCCTAGTGTGGGGCAGGAAATGCTCTGGAAAAGAGACTGGCCTTTTCTGAGGGGGCTGCGGGCCTGGGGTTAGAGTCGGCTCCCAGTGGCCTCTGTTTCCTGCTCAGACCTACCAGTTGCCAACTCATAGACAACTGTCCCTGTCCCTGTTTTGAAATCTGGACTCCTGGGAGAGCTTCCTCTTCTTACTGAGATGGGAGAAAATAGCTTCATTGCTTGATTTTCTAAAGTGAGATAAGAACATTATGTCAACTTAGAAAAGTATAATGAAGACAGTAAATCTCCCCCAAAATCCTGCCTCAGCAAAGTCTTTCTCGAGAGGCAGATTTGGCCCTCTTGTCCCTAATTCTTACCCTTCGAGATCTGATGGCACCACAAGCAGCCACACTGAAAGCATCACACCCAGGTCCTATGGTGGGCTCCCGGGGCCAGGACCCCTCCCCACCCCGACCAGTGCCACTGACCCCCGGGGCCTTTAAAACTGGAATGAAATCCTTTTGCTGTGGACTCCAGAGAGTAAGAATTCGAGTTAAAGCCACTTTTTTCATCTGAAATAACAGGAATGCCAGGCCTAGCCTGAGGGCTTAGATGCCAGGAACAGGCCACAGTTGGGATGTCCCAGCCACCCTAAGCAAACTGAGTCACAGGGTCACTCCTTCAGCCTGGCTTCTCCTTTCATGCCTGACTTGCCTGACTTTAATAACAAGCCCCACACACCCAAAGTGGCCAAAGTAAGCAAGCAGCCTAAGCACAGGACACACCATGTGCTCTCAAGAGCATGGTGTGCCTACTTCATGCGTCCTAATTACTGAACAACAGGCCACATTTGGAAGTGGCTCGAGGAAAGGTGGTCCCAGGCTCCTGGATCAGCATCTGCACATCAGCCAGCCCTGGCAGGCTGGGGAGCAGGCCCTTAAGCATCCAATGGGAGCAGTGCCTGCTGGGAGGGCACTTGGGGGGGGGGGTGGCTGCTGAGGAATTCGTGCACTATCTGCCCCCAGGCTGGCCCAGAACTCCCAGCCCAGCACTGCCTTTGTCTCCTCTCTGTTGCAGGAGCCTGCTGCGGCTGCTGTCCCACGCCGCCCAGGTGACTGGACAGTTGCTCATCTACACCAGCTCGTACATGCTCCGAGTGCTTGGTGACACGGAAGAGTAGGCTCCTCCCAAGTCCTGCTCCAGACGGGGGTTCACATGCAGATAGGCAAGCTGCAGGGGACCCCGCAGGCTCCTGACCCAAACGTTCCCTCTCAAATGATGATTTTGAAGATATTGCTGTCCTGAACCACATACACTCATACACTGCGGGTCACTTGTGCTCAGGAGGGTCACCCAAGGGAAAGAAAAGGAGTCAATGCACATGAAAGGGGGGGCTGCACAGCGGGATGCCCTGAAGGGGCCTCTGTGGGGGGAGGACTGAACAGCAGGTTCCTTTGGTGGGTCCTGAGCAACACAAACTCGCATGAGGCCATACAGCTCCTCACCTCCTGCAGTAAACTGACCATGAGAGCTATTTTTCACACGGGTAATGCTTCCTTGTGTCTCTTTCATGTTCCAAACAAACTTCTATATATAAGCAAAACTCAGGGGTGCTCTGCTGATGGATATAATCACTTTTAAGTCTCTGTTAAACTAATGAGCTGTCAAATGTTACTGCGTGGTTGTTGTTGTTGTTTTTTTATGTGAGTCCTGAATGACCCCAAAGGGATCCAAAGGCTTAAGAACCTGAGGTTCTAGAAGTCTTCAACCAATACTTATAGCCTTTAAAACAAAACACATACCCCTGCCCCAAAACTGCTTGAAATTCAGGCCTGATGCATGGTGCTGGTTGCTAATGTGGCTCCGGTTATCAGCCGGGATCCGTGGTTGCGAGTGGCAGGACAGTGACCCAGGCAGCTGTGACCCAGGAGTGGTGGCTGTAGCTGCAGGCACTGCTGGGTACAGGCGTCCAGTGAGGTAGCCAGGAATCTGTCTAGCTCTTGGTCCTGTTTTCCTCTGAGTTGGCGTCATCTTCCGGCTGGCCCTCCCCCATGAAGGTGAGATGCAGGCCCCCCTCCCCGGGAGCAGGAAGTCCTGGGGCTGCCTCCCAGGGGCCCAGGGAGAGGGTGACTCGCAAGGCCACATTCCAGGTCCTGCAGATACAGAGGGATTCGCCCCAAACACCGAGATGGGATGGGGGCAATGTGGCCCAAAGGAAATGGGGGCGCTGCTGCTAGAATAAAGGTGAACACGGGCAGCGCCAGTGGCCTAGCAGTTTAGAGCCGCCTTCAGCCCAGGGCATGATCCTGGAGACCCGGGATCGAGGCCCACGTCGGGCTCCCGGCATGGAGCCTGCCTCTCCCTCTGCCTGTGTCTCTGCCTCTCTCTCTCTCTCTCTCTCTCTCTCTCTCTCTCTCTGTTATGAATAAATGAATAAAATCTTAAAAAAAAAAAAAGGTGAACACAATTTGTCTCCTAAGGTGCTGGAGAAGCATGTACTGCTGCTCAGATCTGTGGTTTTCCTCTCCGGGAACGTTACCCTGCGGGCCTTCATCCTCTCCTGGTCTCTGCCCAGGCGCCGGGGCCGCGGCCTCCCCGTCCTTCCGGCACAGGCAGGCCCGCCCCGGCCCCGCGGCCGCTCCCCGGGGCTCTCCCCCGGGCTCTCCCCGCGGGGTCTCCCCGCTCGGCTGCCGGCGGGAGCGGCCCTTTCCAGGCGGGAGCGGCAAGCGCGAGGGAGCCGCACAGCGGTCCTCAAAGCACAACCTCTGCTTTTAGCCTCGTGACAAAACTGGCGTTTTCGGTAGCCCCTTCCCCCTTCTGTTTCTGTTTCTAGAAGAGGAGCTGCTGCTGCAGAGGTGGCTCTACAGAGAAGGCCCGGTCGGACGCGGTGCCTGGGCTGTCTCAAAAGCCTCCCTGCGAGAAGTTTCCTATATAAGGAGCTCTGCGGAGCACCCCGCCTCGGCGGCCGGGGCCGGGGCCGGGGCCGGGGCCGGCGGGCCGGGGCCGGGTGGGCCCGGCGCTCCGGGAGGAAGGCCGGCGCCAGAAGCGGCTCGGTCTCTCCGGCCGGCTCCCCGCACCTCCGGAGGAGCGCAGCCCGCCCCTGCCTCTCCCTCACTGAGCGCCTGCGTCACTGCCCGAGGATTCTGCGGTCCGGAGACAGCCTGCCTGCCCGGCTTCCAAAAAAGGAATTTTCCCTGATGTGCTGATCCTGTTGACTCAGCGGGCGCCCTCGCTCGGCGCGTCCTCTTCCTCCTCGGGGCACCCTGGTCTGCGGGGAGGTGGGGGACTGAAGCAAAAGGACAGTGGACGGGCCGCCCCATCACCAGAAAGAGGGTTTGTTCCGCAAGCCTACGTAGGGCTTGGAGGTCCCCTTGCCTTCACCCCGGCTGCAGCCCCGCAGAGCTCTCGGGGAAGGCCCACCCGGCCTCCGGGCTCTGGAGCTCCAGGCCCACGGACAGGCGGGCAAAGGCTGATTTTGTGAACATCAAAGGCTTCCGAGGCCCCTCCACGAGGCTTTGATGGGAGAGAACTAGCAGCATAAAGACCTGCTCCATGTCTGGGCAGGGTCCCAACAGGTGCAGCTCCCTCATGGCTCTGCTTAGAATTAGGCGACCCGCATTCCAAATAGGACACTTCCTTGTTCTAATCTTAGTACCTCCACACCCCACATGGAGTTCACTAGCTGGGAGACAGGTGTGATCCCCCTGGTTGGCAGGAAGGGCCACTGGCTGCTGGGCTGAGGTCCACCCAGGGTGCAGCCTGCAGAGAATCGGCTACAGGGCGTGGGATGTCACCAATAACCAAGTCACTAGCTGAATCCGCTCCGGTGGCGTGTGTCCTTTCCCAGGGCTCGAGGTCTCTCCAGGTACTGTTGACTTACTGACTTCTAGAAGCACAATTCAGGAAACAAGAAATCATCCCTATGCACTCAGAGCTCATGACCTCTCATTTCTGGGTGCGTCCCGATGTTTACTAGTGAGCCCCTTTCTCAGTCACACATACACAGCTCCACGTCCCCACACATGCTGGCACCTCCTCCAGGGAAGCAGGTGAGCAGGGGACAGCGTGCAGGCCTGCTGCAGACTGAGATCTTAGCATGAAATACTTCTGAAGCAGTCACCTCACCGCCCAGGAGACTCCAGTTCACTCCCTGCTGTGAAGAGACTTTGCTGTCACAAGACTCCTCCTTCATCTCTGCAGTTAGGATTAGGGCAGGGTGGTCCAGGAATTCCATTCCACACAGACGTTCTTGGCACAGGTTTAAAAAGTGTTAACAGAGCACCTTTAGTCAGCCTGTCACTTTCCAATTCGCTACGTTTCTATTCTTCCACCCAGGCCTCGGCCCCGAGTCAGTGACCCTGCTTGTAGGCTTTGTCACATGGGGATCTTAAAACAGGAATCCAGTTTCTTTCAAGGAAAGTTCTCTTTCTCCTCCTACACGGTGGAGGTGTGCATGGCCACCCTTCAGAGCGGGCTCCTCTCAGAGGGAGCCAGAGCCTGGCCCTGCCACTGCCCCTCCTCGGGAGGGACATGGGTGGCTTTCCCTCAGCGCCCAGGCCTGGGAGAAGGTGGCCTTTCTCTGGAAGCTATGCATGGCATGCTCATGGCCCAAGGACAAGCCATAGTGACTTGCCCCCAAACCTCGGGTTCCCGACTCCTCTGTGATAAATAAACCATATGTAAATAAAACTCTGGGGAGCATCCCTCTCCTTTCTCTCGTGGGACTCCTGTTCATTGCTCCAATTATCTTAGTTTCTACAAGAGAGTTGGAACCACCCTCACATGAATAACTGCAGACACCAGGCTCGTTCTGGGGGTCCGTATGTTTGTCACACCCCGAGAAAAGCCCAGCTCCCAGGTGGCTCCTTCCCTGGCCTCAGAGACAGGACAAAGTAGAAACGTGCCTCAGACAGCCTCCCAGCTACACAGCTGACCCCAAACTCTTAGAGCAGGTTTGTTTTTATTTTTTTAAAGATTTTATGTATTTGAGAGAGAGAGAGAGCACAAGCAGAAGGGAGGGACAGTCAGAGGGAGAGGGAGAAGCAGGCTCCCCCCACTGAGCAGGGAACCTGATGCAGGGTTCAATCCCAACACCCCAGGATCATGAGCTGAGCTGAAGGCAGGTGCTTTATCCACAGAGGCACCCCTTAGAGCAGATTTATTTTATTTTTATTTTTTTTAAGATTTTATTTATTTATTCATGAGAGGCACAGAGAGAGAGAGAGAGAGAGAGGCAGAGACACAGGCAGAGGGAGAAGCAGGCTCCATGCAGGGAGCCCGATGCGGGACTCGAACCCGGGTCTCCAGGATCAGGCCCTGGGCTGAAGGTGGCGCTAAACCGCTGAGCCACCCGGGCTGCCCCTATTTTATTTTACTTTTAAGATTTTATTTATTTATTTATTCATGAGAGACACAGAGAGAGGCAGAGACACAGGCAGAGGGAGAAGCAGACTCCCTGCGGGGAGCCCAATGGGGGACTCAATCCCAGAACCCCAGGATCACACCCTGCGCCAAGGGCCGGCATTCAACCACTGAGTCCCCAGGCATCCCTAGAGCAAGTTTAAAGCCCAGGACACAGGCAGCCCTGGTGGTCCAGTGGTTTAGCACTGCCTGTGTGATCCTGGGGATCCGGGATCGAGTCCTGCATCGGGCTCCCCACAAGGAGCCTGCCTCTCCCTCTGTCTGTGTCTCTCATGAATAAATAAATAAAATATTTTAAAAAAATAAAATAAAGCCCAGGACACAGATGAGTAGACAGGAGAGGAGCTCTTCCCCCTCCACTTTGTAGGGGTGGGGACATGAAACATACACAACATTTAGAGAAGTGTGGCTTTTAAAATCTGTCAGTTCACTACTTTTTACTTGAAGCCTCTGTTCCACTGAGTGGCCGCGCCACCTCACTCCCCAGCTGTTCGTGCCCCGGCTCTGGGGGCTAATATGTCTGGGCAGCCTGCAGGGCTGGGTCCCACCCAGGTGTCCCTCCAAGATGCCCACTGGCTTTGGAGCTCAGCCTATGAAGGTCATTCTGCACATTTCCTGCCCCACTTGCGCGGAGTCTCTGTGCCTCCACTGCTGGGAAACAAGGGAGCCCTGAGGACCCCCCACCATACAACAGTTGTGTGCCTGGCATGGACTACTGCAAGGTGTGCTGGCTTCCAGGCTCCTCCAGGAGAAGGAATATAGGTCCACGCACGTGTCAACTCCCTGGCCTCTGGCTCCAGGATCCAGGATCTGACCCTTCCTAAAAGCACTCCATCTTTTCTGAGTGAACCTAGCCCTCTATTTCTGTGCCCCACATAGCAAGCACAGGGTCATACTACAAATCTGCCCCCCTCCCGGGAGGGCTGCGGGGGCGGGGGTGTGCAGGAAGACTGCCTACGCATTGAAATCACCACCCTGGTCACACATGCTGTGCCCCACATCCTCCTTGTCCACCTGGCCATGATTCATGGGAACTCAGTGAGGGGACAGTGGGAATAGGGTGGACACTCCAGCCTGCCAACCCCTGTCTCATAGGTGTATAGTTAGACCTCACCCATACAAACAACATAAAATCTGAAAGGATGTTGCTTCCACTCCTTCCTGTCCCACAGGGGGACAACCCCAAATAGCATTTTGCTTTAGAAAAGATGGCCTCTCTTCTCAAGGGACGAATCATGCCCAGATGAGGGCAC